AGAAGGCCAGACGCTACGCTTGCACTCAAGGGCAAAACTCTGGCAAATGACTTTAACCATTAGGACCCATTTCCTTTCTGCAACAGATAAGAATGAATAATATAGAAGATATTTTATGGTATAAATGATTATTTATTTTAGCAATTATTTACCAGAATATTTGAAGTAAATTTACAAAATAAATTTCAAATATTGATGGAAATTAATGAACTTTTTAGAAAACACTAGGCCTGCAACAGAAGTGGGGTGAGAGTTGGAGAAGGCTAACTATGGGCCCCTCTGCAAGTTGAGGATAAGGTAATAAATTGCCCTCTTACTTTCCAAGAGGAGGATTTACTTTTACTATCTATGTTATCCTATGTAGAGTAGACGTTAAATGTTAAAATTATTTGTCTCAGAGGTGTTCAATGAGATAAAGACAGGAAGACTTTTTACAGGACAGGAAATGCATCCTTTCCCTTTCTTGAAAATAAAATTATGGGGAAAACTCTTCGAGACATAAACAAAGACCTATTATAATGAAAAGTATATTTTAAACAATAGCGCTTCAAATATGGCTTAACACCTAAATAAGTTTCACTTCGTCCAATGTCAAGTAAGACTCTGTTTTCATATTGGAAAGCAATTCCAACAGGTTACCTAATAACCATTTTTCTTAAAATCACAAATTATTGATAGACTTCCAAATAAGATAATGGCTTTCTGTTTGGAAACAGGGTGACAGCACAGTATAATCATATACTTGTGGGCATACATACTCATAAAAAAACATTAACCTCATTCTGAGTTTGTAAATCAGCTTTTCCCCCCATGGCTACCTAAGGCAATCTTTCCGAAAACTGTATTTGGCAAGATAAAAAAAATCATTGATCAATTAAAGACAAATGTGTTTCTTAAAGTTTTTCATTGCCCAAACACCTTAAATCAGGTTGTAACTTACCTCAAGATTGGTGTGCCAAGCTCGCTCTTTTATTTTTTTGCTTATGTTTTAAACCCGCTCTGGTCGAGAACTTGTTCCTCTTTTACACTTCGGTCAGTCACTTCCTTTTTAACTCCTTCTTTCAGGTTTTTTAATACTTGCAAAGTTTCCTG